CTTTCTTCAACGGCTTTATTTTCCTCAGCCTATTTAATCCCTCATTCTCCTTCATTTCAACACACACCTCTTGCACTCCAATATATTTCTTTGAGCTATTCATCCTTTGCTTCATCTTCCTCATCAAAATATTATTTTTGAGAGTTAGAAATATTTTTTCTTTGAGTGCTATAGAAGTTGTCATCCATAGAGCTTAAATCTTTCAAACACTACTTTGCTCAATTGTATGAGCATTCATTCTTGTGTTGTAAACTCAATCTCATTTGAGTGTTGTTCAAAAGACTTGTGTGACTCAAGTCTTGTTGTTGTAAGAAAGTGAGGCTTGTGTGATTCAAGTTCTCAAGTTGTACCGGTTTTTCAAGCACCCGTTGAAGCTTGAAGATTAGTAGGACTTTCGAGAGAGTCTCTCGGAGGACTGGACTAGCCACGAGGTGGTGAACCAGTATAAATCCCGGTGTTCTTCTTTCCCTTACTCTCTTTACTTATTCCTGCGATAATTTTTTTTTTCGCGAAAAACGCACATTCTTGAAAACAACTCTATTCACCCCCCTCTAGAGTTGCACATTTGTCTAACAAATACAGGGCTACTTGTAAGCACTGCATATTTATATTTCAAACAAATAACTAGTAAATTTCCTACTGTGGGTGAATCTGCCTCTTCTACTATTACATCAGTCTTAGTTGATGACAATATGAGGTTTCCTGGTTTAGAATTTGCATATAGTCAGAAGTTTATTCTTTCTAGCTGTGAAGATATTTCTTGAAATTAGTGAAGTGTGGTTAAATGAGGTTGGAATTGAAGGAGCCATGCTGAATGGATATGAGCACAGTAGCAGTCAAGCACAAGTTATAAGAGTTTCTGCATCATCCCATCCCTATAAATCAATAGAAGGGGAAATTAAAATCAAACAAATAACTAGTAAATTTCAATGGTGGAAATTATAAGTCTTATGTTAGTATTTTAGAGTTAAACGATAATATTAAAAAAATTATCGAAAATGCTAAAGTTTATTTTGGGTTCAATTGAATAAATTTTTCTTCTAACCAAACAAAAAGGGCATGAGAATACATTTTCCTCATCAATTTTCATCTTAACCAAACATAACTAGAATTTTGAGTTTCGTTTCTTTTTTTTCTTTTCTTTATCATTTTCCTTTCTTCCTCAATTCCGAACCAAACATAGTGCTCATGTGCATAATATATATTGTTTCCTTATTTCATTAATTCCATCTGCACCACGGTGAATTTCTTCAATTGAATGACTGTAATTATTCTGATATGTTATGTGATTACAATTGATATAAATAAATCATAGAAATAGATAGCGAGCTAATATGAATGGCTAAAACTTATCCGTAAAAGAAAAAGAAATTTTAAAATCCTTTTATGCATTTATGCTAGAGTATGCAGAACTAGAGGTTTAGTTTCTAATTAAGATATACTCCCTCTGTCCCATAAAGGTAAGATTATTAGAAAAAAGGTAAGATGTGATAGGTAGGATTTGAAAAAGTAAGGGGTAAAAGTGATTTTTTAATAGAAATGGGTAAAGGATTGTGGGACACAATTTTTTTGAAACGTGTAAATCTTTTTGGGACGGAGAGAGTAGATCTCAATTTAGAGATGTCTCAAAATAAAATCAGCACTTTTTAGTGTACTTTTCTATTTGATGAAACAAGTACTCCGTATATAGCTCCCATATATATTATTCCACTTTCTAAACAGATTTTATTGATACTTTTATTTTTATAGAATTTTCTTACTCCGTATATTCAAGGAGATCAAATGGTAAATTACATTTTTGGGGAGTGTTGTAATTGAGTGCTCCTTGTGACACTTAAGAAGTTCCCTCCAATTTTTTTTATTTTGTCTACAGAGTATTTATATACTACGTAGTATTCCATATCAACAATATTCATGAACACAAACAGCCACTTCACAAGAATCATATCCATAATTTGTTCAAAAACGAAATTTCTAACATACTCTTCAAAGAAAGGATAACAAATAAATAAACAGATCTTATGGCGTGCATTTCAAGATGAAGCCATATATATTCAATGCAACTACACATATTACAAATAAAACAATTGATCACCAAACACTGAGCTAATAAAGTATTACTCCTCGCAAATACTTAATGACGTGAGCATTAAACAAACAAAAACAAACCAGTTAAATCTAACGAAAATAAGGTCAGGAGAGGATTTGAGTATACTGACCTTGCCCCTTCCTTAAAGTAGCTAAAGAGGTTGTTTCCAAGCATTAAACAAACAAAAACCCTAAAAGAAATGTCTAAGCTACAAGTTTAGACATGCTTAAATAAAGGACATATGTCTTCAAATAGTCACTTACTCTTACAGTTAGGGGCTGTTTGTTTCAGCCTCTTAATGGTTCAGATATCTGAATGATTCAGCACTTAATGGTTCAGACTGTTTGTTTCGTGAGCAGATGAATGGTTCAGACATTTGCCTCTGAATGGTTAAGTATTATACAGAGTCTGAATGGTTAAGACCTCTTATCTGAATTGATCAGACATTTGCTTCTGAATAGTTAAGCAATATACTAGCTCTTAATGATTCAGACCTCTTAATGGTTCAGCACTTAATGGTTCAGACTTCATACTGGTGCAGCACTTACCTATTCAGAAGTTGCCAAACAGCCCCTTAATCTCAACCCCTTGAGAGCTGCACCTCAAAGACAAATTTACAGTTATTTATAGATAATCTTCTTAAAGTCAAGTGTAATTAATACCAGAATTAAAATTCATATGGAATAAAATTAAACCCCAACAAATCCCTAGAAACCATATATTACCCTCCAAGATCATATTGTAACTAACACCTACTTTACCAGAATACTTGCAAAGGATTGATCGATTATTGGCTTCATATTAAAAACAGAATCAGACAATGGCAAACAAGATCAAAACACAAATTGGTTCCCATTCAAATAAAAACTAATAAATGTTTGTCATCAATATATTGTCTACTGGGTCTAATTTAACTAACAAAGTTTTTGAACGAACTACCATGCATTAATTAATGACCATCAAACTCATAAGTAGTAATTAAGGCTAATATATACTGATAGTAATTAATAGAAATAGATATCATACTGATCATATACGGAGTAATATAATAATTCCCAAACTGGAAAGAACCATGCTACAAACCCACCACTCATGCCTCCATGGATGACAATACAGATGATTTTATACCTACCCAGATCATAATCATCTGTGAACAACATAGATGATTACTGTCTATGTAGGTATAAAATCATCTGTATTATCATTCGTGGGGGCATCCGTGGTGGGTTTCTAGCATTATCCAACTGGAAATCTCCTCCCAGTGTGCTCTGCGGCGGCTGCACACACAGAGGATCAAACATGGCTGCCCCAGAAGCATAATCATCATTATTCCACTCATGAAGATGATGATTATTATTATTATGAAGATTTTGAACCTCATATCCATATGATGATGAATACCCACCACCGCCATAGCTAACACTACAACCTTGATGAATTTGATTATCGTAATTCCCGATTCCCGCTGCAAAACTGTTACGTTATTTCATTGGCCAAACGCGGGAAACCCTTGATAACAATTACCACAACAATTAAAAAGAGAAAGCTGATGATGATCCTCCTCTGTTTTCTTGCCCATCTCAAGAGCCCCTGCCACTTCTTCAACATTGTTTCCGATGGCATGGCAGTCGTACATCAGAAATAGCAGCCTTCATCTTCTTGTTGGCCTTCTTGCCATCATAACCATCGACATCAATTCCGATTTGGGAGGGACTGCGGCGGCGCTTTCTGTTGTCGGAACGGGGCCGCTTGTTGGACTCGGCGGCATCGCGGAAGGCGGCCCTGACGCCGTCGAGATTCTCCGGCCAAGTTTCAAGCTTGCCGTGGGGGGAGAGGACGACGAGGCAGACATTGATGTCGCAGAGTATCTGAGTATGGACAATTCTTTGCCTCGTTTTAGAAGAGTGGATTTTCTCTTCTCGTACTGCAATTTCTTGGTCCTCTCCTCCTTAATTTGTTGCTGCTGCTTCTCAGCCGCCATTGTTGGAGGAATGAACAGGCCGCGGCCAAATCTGGGAGTGCTCCCTGCCTCCCTCTCTATTTTGTCCGATGATGAGTGTGTGAGCGTGGGGCGTATCTATAGCGAGTAAAAAAGGGCGTGTCGTTAATTGAAAGCTTTTGTTTTGGTCGTTTTTAGGAAATTTCTTTGACCAGCTCAAATCATTAGTCTCTCTCAAGTCTCACCTCATAATTATTTACTCCCCCTCTCTCTCTCACACAATATTGTTACCCTTTTGATTAATTGAGGGTTGATTGATATTTTCTTAAAAAAATTAATCTAATTGATTATTGTTGTAAAAAAAAATATACTTCAAGTGTCTTCAAAAGATTTACGCATTTTACTCTTAAAAACATCGCGGGATTTTTTTACTTGTGTACTCTCATTGATTATTTGATTAAATAAGTTTTTAATAAGTTTTTTTAGAACTTTTAATCTAGTTTTTAAATTTTGTAATTTTTTTATTTATATGCCAATCTTTAGTTAAAATAAGTTGAAAGAATTTGAGACTTTACTACGTTTTACGTAAAGAATAAATAATTTAGGGACGGAGGGAGTACTTAAAAACCTCAACAAAAGTATTGTTGAATATTACAGCGGGAAAAATAAGATTAATCCGAACTTATAAAACGTTTGGATTTTACAACAAAAATAAAAAGAAAAATAAACTTGAAGTCTTCGGAAGCTCGAACGGAAGCCGGAACGCGAACGGACGGGCGCGTGAACGAGACGTCGGATGAAGGGAGGAAGAACGCCGGAGTAGTTTATGAAAGAAGGATATGGAAAGCGGAGTCGCCGGAGCTTTCCTTAAGGTAGTATTGCCCGCCTCCCGCACTGGCTAACGTGGGCAATCTCCTCCCAGGATAAAACCGCTTCGTGCTAGGTCTAGAGCAGTAGAACAAAGCACCGGCGAACGAGAATGACGAAGAGCTATCACTGGAGATGATGACCGGAGATGGGAAGTTGTCGGACCTGTTAGAACGCAGAGATAGAGAGAGAGATTTTCGAGTGTATGCTGTGTCTTCTCTCCCTGCAACCAACCCTCCTTTTATAGGAGCGGAATTGGCTCCTCAACTAGACTGGACGGAATTACCGAGGAGACTCAGGCCATCCCTTCGTCTCCATGCATGCATGCCTTAATTTCGTACACTTCGTTCGCGCGTTTTTGTTTTCATCTCGTAAAAAACTAGCCACGCCGCAGACGCGCCTCGCCCCGCCCCGCCCCGCCCCGCCCCGCCGCGACGCGCGCGCGTGCCGCGCCGGACGGCGGCGGCGGGCGCGCGAGGAGTTCTCTTCTTGTTCCTTTCATAAGCTCAATTCAATGCCTAAGCTTAAATATGAGAATACGAAAGGTTTAGAAACCGGTGTGGGACAAAGGCATTTACTCTACCTTAGTATTCAACTTTGAGAATTAATTTCTCATTCACCCGAGCACCGTTTATGGCGTGTAATATGTCAAGACGTTCGTCTTACTTACGAGATTAATCGTCCATAATTATTTTGGAAAATAATTTTGTGGACCCAACCNAAAATGTCCAATTTACTTTAAAATTTCCAACAATCCCCCACATGAATGAAAATTAATTCATGTAACTGGCAATAACTCTGAAGTTGAAACCTGCAAGAGTAGGTAGGTTTTATGCCTTTGAACCTACTCCTTGTAAAGTATACCTTCTCTACTGGCTGTTCAGTAGAACGTGATGTCTTTGAACTGTACTGCCGTTTGTGTAAACGACGATATACAATACACAAGTTTCAACCAACCATCATTCCGTTCTCATGGGTGTGCCCATTATGGTCGTGGAACACGCATCTGGTTCTGCGAGAGTGTCAGACAAGATCAGCCCGAAATCCTTCTGTTGAAGCGACCGCACTTCACTCTTACATAGGTGATTCTTCTAAGAGTATCCCGATTACTCCACTTGGACCTCGTTGTCCATAGTTCAAGAATCATTAAAGCGTCATGCTAACCTCATCGTTTTCGGGAGTCACTATATCTTAGTAGGAACGGAGGGGTGTTAAGTCGGTGATCCGGCTTGCCCCCACAGTGACCGTGCTTCGTTCCACAAGTAGGTTGTCCCATTGAACCCAAGTACCACCTAGGTTGGGTTTTCCTTCATGGAACGTTCCCAGCACAGGGTAGGGCTTTCAGACCCATTCCTACCACTAACTTCTCATGTTGCTCATTTGTTAACCCTTTGGTTAATGGATCCGCTAAATTATCCTTTGACTTGACATAGTCAATCGAGATAATACTCGTATTGAGAAGTTGCCTAATGGTTTTGTGTCTACGGCGAATGTGCCTAGACTTACCATTATACAATTTGTTCTGAGCTCGTTCTATTGCTGACTGACAGTCACAATAAATGCAAATAGGAGGAACTGGTTTTTCCCAGTTTGGAATATCCTCAAGTAGATTCCGAAGCCATTCGGCATGTTCTACACACTTGTCTAGTGCTATGAACTCAGACTCCATGGTGGATCTGGCAATTAACGTTTGTTTTGAGGATTTCCAGGAAATAGCTGCACCGGCTAGCATAAAGACAAATCCACTTCTGGATTTTGAATCCTTATTATCCGCAATCCAAATGGCATCAGTGTATCCTTCCAGTACGGGTGGATACCTGCCGTAGCATAGGCTATAATCTCGAGTACACCGAAGGTATCTCATTACTCGGACTATGGCCTTCCAGTGCTCAGCACTCGGATTGCTCGTATACCTACTTAGTTTGCTAATGGCGCAAGCTAAGTCTGGCCGTGTATAGCTCATTAGATACATCAAACTTCCGATGACTCTAGCGTATTCTGTCTGAGAATCGCTACTCCCTCGGTGTTTACCAAGGTGAACATTTACGTCTATCGGCGTCTTAGCTATCTTTGTATCATCCTTGTTGAATTTCTCAAGGATCTTGTCAATGTAGTGGGATTGGCTCAAGCTTAGACCATCCGGTCTTCTTAGTATTTTGATTCCAAGAATCACATCAGCCAGACCCAAATCTTTCATATCGAATCGTGCGTTCAACATGTCCTTGGTGGACTTGACCATCCTATCGTTGCTTCCAACGATGAGTATGTTGTCTACGTACAGACATAAAATGACATACCCTTCAGATGTGTCCTTAAAGTATACGCACTTATCAGACTCATTTATTTTAAAACCGTTGCTCATCATTACCTCGTCAAACTTATCATGCCATACTTTTGGCGCTTGTTTAAGACCGTATAATGATTTCACAAGTTTGCAGACCTTCTTTTCTTGGCCCGGAACCTTAAACCCTTCGGGTTGTTCCATATAGATTTCTTCATCTAGTTCGCCATTTAGAAAAGCTGTCTTCACATCCATTTGGTAAACATCCAAGTTCCGTAAGGATGCAAATGCGATGATCATTCTGATAGAATCTATCCTAGTCACAGGTGCGTAAGTATCAAAGTAGTCATAGCCCTCGCGTTGGCTATACCCCTTGATCACAAGTCTAGCTTTGTACTTGTCAATGGAGCCGTCAGGCTTCATTTTTCTCCGAAAGACCCATTTGGAACCTAATGGCTTACACCCTGGAGGGAGATCAACCAGTTCCCACGTGTGATTCTGAAGGATAGAATCAACTTCACTTTTTATGGCTTCTTGCCACTGAGGTCCCTCAGTTGAGGTTACGGCCTCGTGATAGGTTCGTGGTTCCTTTTCTACCAAACAGGTTAGAATATCGGGTTCATTTTCCATTAGAAATGACAAAGTTCCTTTGTCAAATTCTATCAGATATGTTATGAAGTCAGAACCGAACGTCTTTTCAGTTCGCATTCTTTTACTTCGTCTCAATTCAGTCTCATGTTCGACTTCATCATCATCGTCATCGGAATTCAATTGATTTGGATCATCATTATCCATCATCTCTGTGTGAGAACGTTTGGACGAACTGGCTTCGTCACTTGACTTGCACGGAAAAATATGCTCGAAAAATGTTGCATTCCGTGACTCGATGATTGTGTTCTTGTGAATTTCAGGATTATCTGATTTATACACCAAGAACCGGTATGACGTACTACTGTACCCGATGAAGATTCCATCAACTGTTTTTGGACCGATCTTCATCTTCTGTGGTGGTGCAAGTACTTTCGCGAGACACCCCCACACTTTAAGATACTTATAGGAAGGTTTCCTATTATGCCAAAGTTCATACGGAGTTTTGTCAAGTTTCTTACGAGGTATTTTATTTAGTAAATAATTACTTGATAAAACAGCCTCCCCCCACATGTTCTGAGGTAATCCAGAACTAAGCAGCATCGCATTCATCATGTCTTTTAGAGTGCGATTCTTGCGTTCCGCTACTCCGTTAGACTGTGGCGTATACGGTGGGGTTACTTGATGCACAATTCCATGTTGTGCACAAAACTCATTGAGTGGAGCATCATACTCACCACCTCTATCGCTTCTCAATGCTTTTATCTTGCGATTGAGTTGATTTTCCACTTCATTCTTATATCGAACGAAAGTGTCTAACGCTTCATCTTTACTTTTTAGTAAATAGATATAGCAATATTTCGTGCTATCATCGACGAAGGTAATAAAGTATTTATTACCTCCTCTTGAAGGCGTTGTTCGAAAATCACACAAGTCGGTGTGTACCAACTCTAGAGGTTGAGTGTTCCGTTCGATTGTTTGAAACGAACTTCGAGTTGACTTAGCCTCGACACAAGTTTCGCACTTGTGGGTTAAGTCAATACTAAACTTAGGTATGTGTTCCATGTTAATTAATTTCCGGAGAGATGCATAATTAACATGTCCTAGTCTACCATGCCATAAACTAGAAGACTCACACACATAAGCAACAGGATTTTTATTGATCTTTTCATGAACACTCATTACATTAAGCTTTACAAGCCCATCAGAAATATAACCTTTCCCAATAAAAATCCCTTTCTTGGACAAAATTAGCTTTTCTGATTCAAACACCATTCGAAAGCCGTGTTTGATCAACAATGACCCAGACACTAAATTCTTGCGAATGTCTAGGACATAGAGCACGTTGTTGAGCGTGAGCTCCTTGCCGGAGGTCATTTTCAGCTTGATCTTTCCAATCCCTTGAACCTCTGATTGGGCCGAATTGCCCATCCACACCTTGTCACCGGAGGTCTCCTGGAAGTCATGAAACATGCTCCTGTTTGAGCAAATATGGCGTGTGGCCCCTATGTCCACAAACCATTCCCTCGGGTTTGACCCGACGAGATTCACCTCGGTGATGACCGCGCAGAGGTCCAAGTTTCCAAGCTCCGCACACATGGCTTCAGTGGGTTTCTTCTTTCCCTTTTGTGGCTTCTTTTTCCTACAATCAGAGGAACGATGCCCGGTAACGCCACAGTTGTAGCATTTCCCCGCAAATTTTGAAACACCACCCTTAGGACCCATTTTCTTTTTGTCCTTCCCGCCATGTGAAGAGCCCGACGGGTGTTCTACAACATTCGCCTTTGCCCCTCCATTTCTTCTAGCAAGCCCTTCCTCTCGGATCCTAAACCGCGTGAGCAGTTGCTCAAGATTCAGCTCCGTTCTCTTGAGCTTGAGGTCAGCTTGGAAGTCTTCCCACGACCTGGGAAGTTTGTGGATGATGGCCGCCACTTGGAAGGCCTCGCTGACGCCTACTTTTTCTTCATTGCACTTGTTGAAGATTACCGTAAGCTCCTCAGCCTGGGCGACAACAGATTTGCTGTCGACCATCTTGTAGTCCAGCATCTTCCCGACGATGAACTTCTTTGTGCCGGCATCTTCAGCTTGATACTTTTTGTTCAAGCTATTCCAAAGCTCCTTGGCGAGCGTTGCACCGGCGTAGACGGGGTACATCAAATCTCCCAACCCCTCCAGGATAATGTTGATAGCGAGATAGTTGTTGTGGTACCATGCTTGGTTCGCCATCGCCACGAGAGGGTCATTGGCTTCATTGGGCTGGGGGGGATCTTGCTGCAGGTACTCAGCAAATCCCAAGACGGTCATGAAGAACATCATCTTTTGTTGCCACATTTTGAAGTTCGTGCCATTGAACTTCGGTGGCCTTTGGACCGAACTAGCGGGCACTGTAATCGGCCCAACCGCATTGGGCGTGTGGAGGAAAGGCCCGTTAGTCGCCCAATGGGGTCCAACGAATGGATTGACCGGTGTGGGGAAACCCGTGTTCGGTCCAAGGTTGACCGTCGAGGCCAAAGCCATAGTCGGTCCGAGAAACGGGTTCGAATTACCGACGGGGTGATCCCCCGTGGTTTCGAGCCCGGGAATGGGTCGAAGGGCCGACCCGAAGATCGAGCTCGGCATTGAAAACGACGTCATGGTCGCGGCCCCCACACTTGCCCCGAAGGGTAGTGGTGAGGACGGCACAACCATGGCGACCGAAGAGGTTTCCACCGGAATTTCGGAACTTATTCCGTTGTCGGAGGAACCCACGATGCCGAATCCGAACTCCATTATACTACCTTAAGATTGTTGAATATTACAGCGGGAAAAATAAGATTAATCCGAACTTATAAAACGTTTGGATTTTACAACAAAAATAAAAAGAAAAATAAACTTGAAGTCTTCGGAAGCTCGAATGGAAGCCGGAACGCGAACGGACGGGCGCGTGAACGAGACGTCGGATGAAGGGAGGAAGAACGCCGGAGTAGTTTATGAAAGAAGGATATGGAAAGCGGAGTCACCGGAGCTTTCCTTAAGGTAGTATTGCCCGCCTCCCGCACTGGCTAACGTGGGCAATCTCCTCCCAGGATAAAACCGCTTCGTGCTAGGTCTAGAGCGGTAGAACAAAGCACCGGCGAACGAGAATGACGAAGAGCTATCACCGGATATGATGACCGGAGATGGGAAGTTGTCGGAACTGTTAGAACGCAGAGATAGAGAGAGAGATTTTCGAGTGTATGCTGTGTCTTCTCTCCCTGCAACCAACCCTCCTTTTATAGGAGCGGAATTGGCTCCTCAACTGGACTGGACGGAATTACCGAGGAGATTCAGGCCATCCCTTCGTCTCCATGCATGCATGCCTTAATATAACGAAGTGTACACGCGCGTTTTTGTTTTCATCTCGTAAAAAACTAGCCACGCCGCAGACACGCCTCGCCCCGCCCCGCCGCGACGCGCGCGCGTGCCGCGCCAGACGGCGGCGGCGGGCGCGCGAGGAGTTCTCTTCTTGTTCCTTTCATAATCTCAATTCAATGCCTAAGCTTAAATATGAGAATACGAAAGGTTTAGAAACCGGTGTGGGACAAAGGCATTTACTCTACCTTAGTATTCAACTTTGAGAATTAATTTCTCATTCACCCGAGCACCGTTTATGGCGTGTAATATGTCAAGACGTTCGTCTTACTTACGAGATTAATCGTCCATAATTATTTTGGAAAAATAATTTTGTGGCCCCAACCGAATTTATGTCCGAAAATGTCCAATTTATTTTAAAATTTCCAACAAGTATGTTACCTTTGAAATGTTTAGGACGACAAAACTGCACAATTAGAATGAGAATTGTTATCCCTCCTCCGACATATTCATTAAACTTATCGATCAATGTAGTCCCCCACAACGTGCACCGTATCCTTCATGAGGCGCACAAAAGATATAGTATGATGTAAAGATTAATATACCGGAGAATGCATCTTTTGTTAGGGAATTAGGATTACCTTACATTTTCTAAGGCTAACTAAAGAATTATTTGTGAAGCCCCTTGGACTACACATCATTGAATATTTGTCCTTCCATTTATTTTTCTAAAGGCATCTAAAAAAATGGGACAAATGTGTCAAACCATGTAACTAATTATAACTAATTAAATCTCAAACAAAAATTCATATTTGAAATATTACCAATTAGCAGATTCTCGTGAAGCCTTGAATATGCCATGAGGTTATCAAAAGAGCAAAAGTTGTACATGAAGCTTGGGAATGGATATGAATTAATGTCTTTTCAGTGTTTGTCCTTAAAGAAAACCAATAGATATGGGTGGTCAATTGTCTTGTTAATTTGAAAATTATTATGAACCAAGAAATTTTGCACGGCACAAATGACCATGTAATGCCTCAAAACATGGCCTAAAAGTTATTTTATGATAAAAGAGTTTTTAAAAAATATTTTGACCCAACAAAGTATTATTTCTATGTTTCACCAAAAATGAAGGAATTTTTGGAGTCAATGATTTTTTGTTGAAATTGAGTTTTATGGATAGGTCACGAAGAGACAAATCCAATGGTATATTTTATGAATAAATCTGATATACATATTTTGAGTTGTGACATTTTACATATGTAAATTGAATAAAAATGAGAAGTGGTTAAAAATGTGAATTTTTATAAAATGATTTATTTAAATAAATTATTTAAATTGAATAATATTGATTGAATATGAGAGTAGTTTTGATTATATATCAATTAATTCAATTTTGACTCTGTCAAAGTCAACCCCCAAAAATACGTTATTTGAAAAAGTATTTCAAAAAAATGTGAAAATTATATTGTCATGTAGAACTCGACTGCCAGCCTGATTGTAATGGTGCAATCAGATTTCAATTTGGATAAAGTTGAAACAAAAAATTTAGTCCAACTAAGATAAATAAATCATTTTCAGTGAGTGTCCTGAAAAATCACTCAAAATCTCACAAAGGATCGAAGCACAGCACTATCGCTAAAGAATGAAAGATTTGGGAAAGGATATGACCTTGGCCTCTTCCCCCTCTTCTAGGCTATTTAAGGAGGCTGGTTCTCCTTAAATTCTCCATGATTTCTTCTCATTCTTCTTCATATAGTTTCTTTACAATATAGAGAATAGATCGCAATGCATCGCCTTCGTCAAAGTCACCGTAGGTAGCCGCGGTTCTTGCTGGAAGTTGCCCTGCAAAATTGAATGAAAAAAGCATTCCCTGTGCAAATCAGTTCACTTGTGAGCATTTAAACACCCTCTAAACGTTGTTATTTTTATCTGGTTTCGATACAAAAGTTGTAGCCTTATGTCTTACAAATCCATAGCTTCATACGGTTCGTAATTTCGTTGAGTAACGAAGAAGATATGACCCGGAAACCAGAGTTGGTACAGTGGTGACGACAAGTGAATGGTTTTGAGATTTCCGACGTTGTTTTTGCTCCCTTTCCTTTGTTGAGCTTTATCTCGTTGATTTCTAGGTCTGTACTATGGTTTTAAACAACTTTAGAAGGCATTGGTCATAATGGCATTCAAATGATTATATTCTTGAACTTATTGATTCATATATATTTAAAAATATAAAAATTCTTATATTCAAAATCACCAAACTTGTTTTGTTGTTAAAATTTCAAACAAATCGTTTCTGAATGATCTATGGATGCTAGAAAACATTTTTATGAAGTTATTTTAAAGCTCCTTAATTTGTTGCTGCTGCTTCTCAGTCACCCACCATTGCTGGAGGAATGAACTGGCTGGCCTAATCTCGGAGTGCCCCCTCTCTATTTTCTCCGATGATGAGTGTGTGAGCGTGGGGCGTTTATAGCGAGTAAAAAAGGGTGTCGTTAAATGGAAAGTTTTGGTTTTGCTCGTTTTTAGGAAATTTCTTTGACCAGCTAAAATCATTAATCTCTCACCTCATAATTATTTACGTCCCCCCCTCTCTCTCTCAATATTGTTTCCCTTTTGATTAAGACAGCCTTCCGTTCAACTTATTTTTTTTCTTATTATTTATTTTTATTAAAATCAGATCATATCAGATTTTATCAGATTAGACCAGAACAGATGAGATCAAACAAAATTACTATTACTATTACTATTGTTATTAATACTATTACTATTATTATTATTATTATTTCTATTAATATTATTAATATTATTAATATTACCATTACTATTATTATTATGAATATAAGTATTATTACTATTTTTATTATAATTATTACTATTATTATTACTACTACTAATCTTATTATTACTATTATGATCATGATTACCATCATCATTATTATTATCATTGTTCCTAATATTATTATTAGTATTACATTACTATTATTTCTTATATTATTATTATTTCTATTTTGTGTTATTATTGTTATTATTAGTATTATTATTATAGTTATTATTATTACTATTATTATTACTGTTAACATTATTACTATTATTATTTTTATTTATATACTTATTATTGCCTTCATAATAAATATAATTTTATTACTATTAGTATTTCTCTTAATATTATTACTATTATTATTAGTATTATTATTATTATTGTTATATTTATTATTATTATTATTATTATTATTATTATTATTATTACTATTATTATTACTATTATTATTATTACTCTTATTAGTATTATTATTATTACTATTATTATTACTATTATTATTATTACTCTTATTAGTATTATTATTATTACTATTATTATTAATATTTCTATAACTATTATTATAACTATTATAATACAAATGTTAATTTTAATTTTAATGAAATTCATATTAGATTAGATCCAATCAAATTAGACCAGATCAGATCCAATAAAATCAGATCAGATCAGACCAGATCAGATCAGAACTTCAGGAAATCAGATTGGATCAGGCGAATGGAACATAGCCTGATTGAGGATTGATATATTTTTTTTCTATAATTTTATTTAATTGATAATAGATGTAAAAAATAATACTTCCATCGTCTTTAAATAACTTACACACTTTACTATTCAAAAATTGCATACATTTTTGTTTATTTATGTATTTTCATTGGTTATTTGATGAAATAAAATATTCTTGTCACCTCTTATTTTGAAGAACTTTTGATGTACTTTTTAAATATTTCTATATTTTATTTATATACCAATCTTTAAATAAAATAAATTGAAAGAATTTGAGACTTACTTTTTTTGCGTAAAGAGTAAATGATTTAGGGATGGGTGTAGTATTTAAAAACCTCTACAAAACAATAGGTAACATGAATATATTATTTTATTAAATGACAGAATGTGTAAATACCTGTATTTTGACCCTAACTATTAGGGTTAAGCTACAGCATGTGGGTAGTGATGCTCTAATACTACACTTCTTTTTATAAAATTTTGTCTTACATTTTTAATTCTTTTCTGTACTTGGAGTTTTTGAGAAGACAGATTGGTTCTTAAATCATCTCTCAGATTTAAGCTTAGCCTCATACTAATGATTAACTGATTGGATTGATTTGAAGAGGTAAGATGTTAGATCTTATTTATGCATTGACCCTGAGTATTGTTCTCATTTAAGTAGTTAAAAACTACGGGATCTATAATCTCATTTGTAAGGATTGATGGTTAATTGTTAAGTTTAATTGATAGGCTAATTTGTCATGCTATTTATTTAATTTATGGGGTACATACCAATCATAACCAACAAAAATTTCAAATTATTTAAGCACCTAAAAATCAAATAGAAAATATGAAATTGGATCAATCCAAAAATGTAGCTAACAAGCTTTCGTTATGCAAGAGACATCATTTTGACATTTTGGGAAAGTTGTCGTAATTGCAAAGGTTAATACGAGTACGAAGAAAAGGATACCAATCTTAGAAAGAAGGCACAAAAAGATAATTTTATAAACAAAACTATTGAGGTTAATATGTCTAGATCAAATAGTGATATGCATAAATCATTGTGTATGTTAAGAATTAGGTTTTTTTGTTTTGTTTTATTTAAATTAGTGAATGTACTCCATTCTGCTTTTGAAATGGATTATAGTATGGAAAGGTAGAGAGACAAATAGAAGACTTACATTACAATCATCATCTTCATACCTATTGATGGGCCGATATCCAAAGGACGGCCCAAATGAACCATTTAAACAGCTTCGGGTCAAGCACCTGTGAAATACTCAAGCTAGGCCGGCCCAAGGAGCTGGGCCTAGTTAACCTCAGGTCAAGCGCAGCTGGCAGAGTCAATCCGGAGAAGGAGACGGAGCTGATGGGCCGTTACGGAGCCGGGAAAAGGGGATCGCGCCCTTGGCGGGATAGACTCCATCGGTTATGCATTACCTTAATTGTTTAGAGCTCATGTATAAATAGAGGGGACCCGAAAGGGGAAAACTCAAGCTAAATCAAGCTGGTAATACACGTCCAATTCTCGAATTCTTGTTCTTAGTTTTGTTCTTACGATCCGCTCTGTAAACCGGATCATTTGGTGGATTTATTGTCCATCAAATTGGTGCTCTCGTTGAGAGTTCGAGAATCATACTCAGAAGAAATCCTCCACAACGACGATGGTGCAAACACGTAGCAACGCCAACGTAGGTACCGGAGTTCCCCAACAGGGGGAGAACAGCGCCACCGGAGGCCGGCACCCCCCCATCACCACCGGGGAGGCTGAGGCCCTCATTCAGAGGGTTGGGATCACGGCCGAACAATTCAAGGAGGTGCTGGCCGCACTTGCGCCCAACCGCGAGGTTGTGGTAGGAGATGTGGCTGGGGGACCCACAGGCGAGAAGGCTGGACCTGCAGCCCAAGGAAAAAAGAAAAAAAGTGAGGCGGTCCCAAAAGAAGAAGGCGACCAAGCCTAATGGGAAGGCTATGATGGCAGATGCGCTTTCCAGGCTGGAAGAAGAGGACGAGTCGTCCTCCTTTGAGCGGATGTCTGCTTTTGACCGTTTGGGAGACCCTAAGTCGAAGAAACCTCGGACCTCTGCGTTCGAAAGGCTGCAGGACACTCGGTCGGCCTGAAAAGGCGACTTGAGAGACACGCTCAAGGAGAAGAGAGGGGAGTCCACAGCGACCTCCAAGGTCGGTTCTGAGGAGCGACGGACGACAGTCGGGGATAAGGGCGCAGCCGAGCTGTGGAAAATGTACGAACAACTGGAGAAGCGGCTGGATGCCCAGAACCCCTATCGCCAGGCGGTCTTCAGTGAGGTAACGCCCTTCTCCAGAAGGATAATGTCCTGCCCTCTCCCAGATAATTTCAAGACTCCCCAGATCAAGGCATACAACGGGACGACCGATCCCCAAGACCACCTCGCTCGCTTCGGGGCCAACGTGATCATGTACGCATATCCAGAAGAAATCAAGTGTCGGTGCTTCCTGGCGACACTGGAAGGGCAGGCTTGTGTGTAACACCCAAACCCGCATGACCTAAACCCGTGAGACAGCGGACCGGTGTGCCACTGAATTGGTATCCGAATTTGCGACATTTTCAAAACAATTTTAAACAAACGTTCTATCAATACATATAAAAATCCATCGGAGTAATTTAAAATAATGCGGAAGCCTTTTTAAAGTCAAACAACTTGGGATCTTGCCCGAAAACGTAATAAGCATTAAAGTTAATTGAATATGCATAATCAACAGATTAAAGAGTCAGCCACGCCATCGTACATCTCCTCCTCAATGCCCTCTGGGATCGGCTCTAGGTTCATCTGCCTGATCACCTACGGACAGCAAAAAGGAAAACAACGCTATCCGCTCAGCATTGACGCTGAGTGGTACTCCATTGCAGCACAAGAATAAACATAATAATTCAACAATTAAGATCGTACATATGTTTATCCTTTTAATAAAAATCAATTCAACTTTACATTCGGTTCTTTAGACGGTTGACCAACAGTCAACTTATTTTCTTTCTTTTCAAAACGATTTAGGTGTTACGGGTTTCCCATTAACTCTTTGACCACCGGTCAAACCAATTTAGACTTTCACCAAAGTCAAACCACTTAACATTTA